AATGAAAACATACAGTCAAAGCTGCTCTAACGTCCACCGGTATATGAGAATCGCTTTTGTACAAACAGGCCACTTCCCATTTCTTCCCTAGCCCCCTTTTTTTTACATTATAATATGACATTGTGTAAGACAGTCCCTTTTCTCAGACGGCCGTTTTTTCCCCCTGGAGAATGGATTGCCGTCTAAGACAGTTTCGACTATATTATTGTTAATGTCTTTTGAGTGCGACGGTGGAAGCGCCTATCTGTTACTTCACCACTGACGCTTTGGTAAATGTTTTACGGCTCTCGCAACTGCATTACGAGCGCACGGGACACAGTAAACATTTTCAGTTAGAAGGAAATTTTGAATTTTGCCTGGGTGGCCGCCGAAGCCAACCCTTATCTCCATTTTGGACCACCAGGGGACCTTTAACGTGCTTAACATGCACACGGAACCTCCGAGATTTTTCGTCGCCCTTGTCCGAGAAAGCTAGGTGTAGATCTTTCCTACCACAAGACCAGGGGTGTGACTGAGAGACAGCAGTAACAAGGAGCCAAGGAGTAGCACTAGTAGCAGTAGAAAGGCTGCAGAAAGAGTCAGGAGCGCAGAGGAGGGAGGTGAGGAGGTGGGGGCTGGAAGTGGTGACGAAAACGGATGACACAACATTGCTAGAGAGCTGTCTTATACGGGGTGCCCACTACGGCTGGATCGGGCCGATCCCCCGACTCGATCGCCTGAAACTGAAAACAAACACGTTTGTTTTTTAGACGATCGAGTCGGGGCGATCGGCCCGATCGGCCGATCCCAGCCGTAGTGGGCACCCTGTATTAGATAGTTTCGACAGTATTGTTATTGTATGAATCTGAGGAGTGCGACGGGAGAAGCGCCTATTCAGGCCCCCAGGATGGATGCCCATTGCAGACGGGTCGTTTACATGTACAATGGTGGTGGTACATGCATTAAAAATTAATGTGCACTCACGCATGCATACACGACAAGAAAGTAGTGTACATAATGATTATGATCCAGGTATTCATTTTCCGTGGTGAAACACCTCCACTCGGTAACTATTCTCTCTCTCTCTCTCTCTCTCTCTCTCTCTCTCTCTCTGTCTGTCTGTCTGTCTGTCTGTCTGTATCGGTCTATCTCTCTCGTTCTATTTTGTCTCCCTCTATCCCTATTAAAGATATTTCGTAAAATATAGAAAAGATCCACGAAAGCTCTATTTTGGTGAAGCCTTGCTGTGACCAAAACCATTTCCTGGTAACTGAAAATGTTCAATATATCCCTCAAATTATGACGTAAATATATGCAGCTGCGAGAACCGTAAAACCCTTACACACACACACACACACACACACACACACACACACACACACACACACACACACACACACACACACACACACACACACACAAACAAAGAGACCAAAACCATTACATAACAGATGCTCACCTTTATGTACATGTACACAGAGCCTGTGTACTGTACTCAGGATTGAGCGCTATATAAATGCCATTGATATTTATTATTGTTGTTGTTATTATGATTAGCCTACCATGATGATTATAATATGATGATGATGCTGATGCTGATGATGATGACGACGACGACAACGACGACGATGATGATGATGATGATGATGATGATGATGATGATGATGATGA